ATTTACCCTACATTATTTTGCACACAGGAGGTTTGGGGCACACACGCCTAAGTGGGGAGCTGCAGGTTAACAGTCCCCTTGTCACAATGACCCAACTCTTCTCTTGATGGCAACTTAAAAGCACAAAATAGCATTTTCTCACAAAGTTCCACTTCTCCCTTCCCTGAACTCCACCTGCAAGGCAAGAGTCCCTCACCAGGAGGGCAGAGACGCCTCCAGGCTGTGAGCCTGCCCTATAAAGCACTTCCAGAACTCAGCACTCTGCCCCCAGCACTGGGGAAATCCCTGGACACACTGAACAAAACCACCCAAAATACCATCCTTGCAACCCCAAATCCTTGGAGAATCTCACACTCCCACTCACCCGACCCACCATCAAATCCTACTGGCTCTGTCTCCAAAACAGATCCAGAATCCTATCACCACACAGCTGCCTTCCTACCCCAGGGCACCATCATCGGTCACCCGATCACTGCGCTGCTGCCTAACTTCTGCTCTTCACTCCAGCGGTCTGTTTGCAACACAGCAACACCAAGGAGCATGAAAAGCCCAAGTGAGATCAATTGAACATCTCATGGTCCTCCAATTCCACTTTTTTCCCTAGGACTAGGGATCAAACTCTGAGATGTTTTCCCACTGAGCTCTATCCCCAGCTCTTTTTCATTTTGAGACAAGGTCTCACTAATTTGCCCAAGCTGGGGTCTAACTTGTGATCCTTCTGCCTCAGCCTCCCAGAATGCTGAGATTACAAGCATGCACCACTTTATCTTTCTTATTTTTCTGGCTCCACACCAGAATGTAGGCCCCAGGAAACCAGGCTTTTTTGCCTATTTCCTCAAGGAGCAGGTGTCCGAGGGATCTTTTTAAATATCTGAGAGGCTGAATTTATATCATGTCACCGGACAAGAAGACAGAAATTCAAAGTGATCACAGCTGGGATACTCTTGGTTAGAAACCTAAGGTTTCCCATCCCGATTTTTCTCTTAGTAATGTTCTTTCAAATGCTTCTCACAGATGCTAACATTCTGAATAATGTCAGAATAAACACTGTTAAACCACCCACCCAAATACTCAGAACACCTCAAGTAGCTTTGTATTCTCTCCTCCTCCTTTTACAAACACACACACACACACACATACCCAGAAGAGAGAAGTTGACCCTGTTTCTTATCATGACTTTTAGACAATAGGCGTACGCCCTGAGCAATTTCACAATATGTAGTGTAAGTACAAGACATGCAGAAAAGGACAGGGCTTCCCACAGAAATGGCCATTTATTCGCTTCCTAATGCAGCACTCAGCTGACATTTAGTTAAAGGAAAAGAGGACTCACTGCTATTGATGCTACGCTGGACAGGGCTGGTCCTGAGCTGGTTCACCATGCTCCTGCACGGTTATAACTCCATCCCTGCAAACCTAAATGAGCTCCACCCAAGGACAGAAGGCACCCCTTCATGACACAACCACACAACCCCTCCGAGGCTGAGCCAGACTCCGGCCAGCACCCACGGACAGTAGACTTTGAATGCTTGGTCTGTGTGAACCACCTGTATTCAGACTCTGCAGAGTCAGAGATCCATTTTCTAGGATGTGCCACTTCTCATCCTCCAAGCTGGAAGACCATTCTGGTGGTGCCAAGGATGAAGGCCTTCCCTTAATCACATGCATCTCACAGGCTGCAAACTTTTGGAACATCTCCTGGCCACCACAGAGCTTTCTCCCCATCCATCCGTTCACTAGTCCAGGCCACGCGTGTTAGGTTTCTATGGTAGCTTTAGAAGTCAATAAAAGACACCTACAGCAGGGGAGGCCTGAACACCCCAGCAAAATGCACCACCAGAATGTTTACCATCCCTAATTTGCTGTTACACAACGTTTATTTGCTTTTACTGAGTGCCAGGAATCTGAAAACCTGTTGTTGATTAATAAACAGCAATTAAGTCTCACCACCTGATTTGGAGATATGGTTAGGTTCTGGGATTCCCTTGCAAAGGAGGCTAAAGTGAAGCCCCAGGTTGAAAGCTTTTTCCCTGAGGCCTGACAGAGATGCATCAGACAGCCCAGCCCCAAACTACAACTTGGTTCCTCTCCCCTGTGCTGCCCTTGGCTTCCTCCATCTTTTTCCACCTCCTGAGCCAATCTTCCCTCCCACTAGGCCTCTGCGCTCCAAGGAGGTCCCTCTGACCACATCGACTTAAGAGGCCTACCCCAGCTAGCTTCCAACAGTAAGTGTCCTGCTCTATTAGGAAGATACGTGGATGTGGGAGCCAAAATCAGGTTCCAGAGTTTGGCAATGCATACCTCCCCAGGTTTTACAATGCTTTACTTCAAAAGTGTTTTAACACTCTAAGCTGACAGCCTCACTTCTTTCTGGGCTTTCCTGCCTCAGGATCTTAAAGACATATGGTAAAGATGTGACACACAACAGGAGTGGAACCACAAAGCACTCTGGGAGTGAACACTAGTTATAATTATGGATGCTTTTGATTCATGCTGGACTTCATTACTAACAACAGAAAAGGCCAACTCCCGACCCACACTGAAAGGACAGGAAGTGAGCTCCATGTTAAGACTCAGGCCATGGTTGCTAGATCTGGCCCAGGTGGAACAGACACCCTGAACTTACAAACACTTCCGACAAGTCCAGGGGACAAAATGACACTGATAATCCAAAAGCTTAAGTTCTATTTACAACAGTATTAAAATTAGCTTTCCAAATATTAAAATTAAGCCTTTTATATATATTTTTTTCCAATGCTGGGGATCGAACCCAGGGCCTCATGTGTGCTAGACAAGTGCTCTGCCACTGAATTCTACATCCCAAGCCCAGTTCAAACTCTTATTAATCATCTGCCATTACAAAGGTGCTCGACCCCATATGGATAATCAAAGAGTGCTCTGCCTGGCTTTTCACATCAGCTCCACTGCTTGACAGTGGTCAGCAGGTCACAGAGTTTCTCTGTTGCCTTAGTTTTCTCATCTAACAATTAGGGATCACAGTAAATATATCATAAGGTTATCATGACACTTAAATGAGTTAATACACGTAAGACACCTAGAATAGACGCTTGTATACACTGAAAGCTGTTACCATGACCACCATGCAATTATAGGAAGGGGTAAAAAACAACTTGGTCATTTTATTGTATGACTTTCACTCTTCTAAGACCCCTGCCAGTTCTATGGTGGAAAGTATCCTTGCAAAGCATAATTTCCAGGGCAAAAGGAAACACTCTGGGACCCTCGGAGACACTGGTACCCAGAGCTCACTGGAACAGGACTAAAATCCCAGAAGCTGTGAAGGCAGAAGGCAAGTCCACGTCCTCCCCAGAGGAGGAAGCCACTGCGGTGACCCCCAACAGCAGGCTAAGGCAGGAGTCTCTCTGGAGCCCCGGCTGCCCAGCTACTGCAGAAGTGCAGCTGGGTGGCAAGAAGTCTTCCAGGAAGCCCGTCAGACTGCATCGACCTGCCAAGACGCTGCAGGCAAAGGGCCCCAGCAGGGAAAGCCACGAAGCAGGACACACTCTCATAAGATGGAACTCCCCTTATTTCCTCATTACGTCAGTGTCCCGGGCCCCAATATCTTACAACCCCCAAACTGAATAAACCCCAATGACAGGTTTCAAAAGTTCTGACCAAAACGAACCCTCAACTGGAAAACCTTTTTCTATGGGAGGAGAGGGAGGAAGCTAAATGTTTTCTAATTTCATTTCAACAATGATTTGCAAGTCAATACCCACAGATGCCCTCCTGCATCCCAGCAGCCACAGCGAGGAGACCCTTGTCCAGTCCTGGGCATGCTGCTGGCTTTCCCAGGAATGAGAAGCCAGGCTGGGAGCACCACCCTCACACCTTCTCTCCAGGAGACCCACTGCAGATGCGGGGGTGGGGACAGGGGAATGACTAACCACAGCAGTGGACCCTGAGCACAGGCAAGCTGGGTGTGAAAATAGGCGTCTGGATAAGAAAGGCAATTAGGGAAACAATAGCGGGAAAAGGGGGCAACGCAAGTGTCCATCCACACCCCACTTGTCCATGAACACCCCCTTCTTCCTGGTCTGACCAACCTACACAATGTTCAGGTCTGACCCCCTACAGAACGTCCGTTTCAGGCTGACAGATACAGCAGATACTGATCATGGGGGAGGTGGGTAACTTCAACTTCTGCTTCATTCAGCAGTGCCGAGTTCCCTTTCACTATCAGCCCCTCTACCTTTCTGAGACACTACAAAACAAAACAAAACCCAACTCGGGGCAGGAAGGAGCAGCACATATGCTTGGTGCCCTGAGTCCACCTCTGGCAGTTTCTGCTTTCTGGAGATGCAGCCGTCAGTTTGTGGTGTCACACAGCCCAGGAGACAACGGGGTGTCACACAGCAAACACCTGAGACCCTCTCGTGGGACGCGGACCCCAGAGAAATGTACACGCACGCCAATGAGCCTCTGCCCACATGCGCCCCCAATCTCTGGGAAATTCTTCCCTCCAGTCCACAATCGCGTGGCTCCTCAAAGTCTCGGCGACACCTAGGACGTGCAGATGTCAATTTCATGTGAAAATCCGATTTAAGGGCAGAAACCCGAATGACTGAAAGGCTGAATTTTCCCATGACCACGTCTCTGGTACACCCAACGCGCCCAGGCGCACGGCGAGCAAACGCACACAGTAAACGGCAATCTCCATCATGCTCAGCCCACAGTCACGCGTGGGGAGAAAGCGCTGCGAGGGCGGCGGTGGCAGGGGAAGTGGGAAGTAGCCCGCCCGCGTGGGCTGCTCTGCCAACCCAGCGTTCCCCTCCCCCTCCAGCAGCAGGGCCACCGGGAAAGGGGTAGCAGACCCACGCGGGGGGCGCGCGGGGGGCTCTGCGGAGCCGAAAACGGGACAATGAGGACGCGCGCGGCGACGAGCTGGTGCCTGACGCGGTGGCAGCGGTGGCAGCAGACCAAGGTGCAGCCTCTGCCGCCGCTGCGCGACCTCCACCCTCCTCCTGGCGCCCACTTACGTTCCGAGGGTCTCCTTGAACTCGAAGATCTTCTTGATGTCTTCGGCTTGCTTTTTCCAGGAGGAGCTGCTCTCGCCGTTCTCGCGGGCCATGGCAGACGGGCGCGGCGCGGAGGGGCGGCCGGGGGCGCGCTGGGGAGGGGGCGCCGGGGGCGCGGCGCGGGCGCAGGGGCGGCGCGGGGATGCGGGGCGCGGGCCGCGGGCGCGGGGCCGCCGCAGAGCTTCCTCTTCTGCAGTTTCCTCTTTCGCTCTCGCCGCCGCCGCCGCCGCGGTCCCTCCCTGGCTCTTATTTCTGCCGGTCTCGGGCACAGACTTCCTGCCGCCGCCGCGCACCGGCTCCTTTGCCTGCCAGCCTCACTTTCTGCTACTTTCTTGCCGCCTCCTGCGCCCTCCCCGCGCCCGCCTCCTCCCGCGGGCTCCCCGCCCTCCCCGCGCGCCCTGACCGCCTCCCCGCCTCCCGCCGCCCGCCTCCAGCCTCCCGCGCGGCCGCCGTCGGGGATGTCCTGCGCCCCTGCCTGGGAGCCCACGTGGGCGGGGGGCGCAGCCCTGGCCACCCGGCCACGCTTCACGGCGGCCGCGCGCCTTGGAGCCCGGCGAGGGCAGGTGCGGGGACCCGGGCAGGTGCCAGGCGCCAGACCCGGGCGCGGAGGAGCCTTGGCCCTAGGGGAGCTTAATTACGAAGTGCAGGCGGGGGCCCCCGGCTTTCCTTCCTCCGGCGGGAGGGGGCGCCTCTGCCTGGCGCTTAGAAGCGCGGCGCGGGGCGGGGGCGCGCGGCTGCCGGATGTAGGGTGCCTGGGGCGGGGCGCTTTCCTAGTCTAGGGGACCCGGGGCAGGGCTGGCGGGGGCCGGTTGTTATGGCGACGAGTGGCGGCGGGGACAGGGGTCGGTGGGCGTGGACTCAGGTTTCAGACTCGCGCCCGCGCGAGCGTGCCCGGAGCCGGGAGCCCCCTTCCGACTCGGCAGCTGGAGCTAATTCGCATTGCACCAAAATGGGCCTCGCGTCAGTTTCGGGACCGCCGGGAAGACAGCCGAGGAGCCCTGAGATCGGGCACGCGCAGGGCACGGCAGCCGCTGCCGCGTGTCCTTCGGGGGACCGCACTCCCGGGGGCCCCGGGGCGCCCGGGCGCGGTGGATGCGGGACGGCGCGGGCTGCCCGGCTCCGCTCGGGCTCACCGCGGGCTCCTCCGGGCTCCTCCCACCTTTGCGCGCTCTGCGGCCCCGGCCGACGGGAGACTCTAGAAAATCGGTGTCAGCCCCACATGCCCTTTGGAGGAGGGTTGCCTCTGCTTACCGCCCCCGCAGCTGGCTTCGTGGGGTTCCTGGGGCAGGACAGGTACCTCCAAACACCCACAGGCTGGCGAAAACCCAAACAATTCTCCCATCTCCAGGGAAAACCGTGGCCTCCTGACCCACACCACCTAGGGTCCACTTGTCAGAGGACCCCCCACGTGTTGGTCCCCTGGTCCCCAACTGGCAATGACTGCCTCTTGATTGGAAAATTTTAGTTTTTCTTTGTATCAAGACTCCCTTTCCCTTAGGGCTCCGGCTCTGAGTTGAGTAAACAGCCTTGTCTTTTGATTGGGGACACCTGTCCCATTTTCCCAGGACTGTTCTAGTTTCACTGTAAAAGAAAAAAGAATTCTGCTTTCAGAAAAGGAAAACTTCATTCAGCACCTCTGCCTGGCTCTGACTGGCAGGCTGATCTCCCCCCCCCCCCTTGTTGACCCCCAAGGACAAAGGACAGCCTGCCTGACTTCCCGTCCCTACCACTTCGTACTGTGTGCTGCTTCCCATCTTTTGGAGACTGTCAGCCCGTGGCTCTGGAATCTGAGAAAATCGGATGGTGGGGTAGAGCTGTGTACCACGTTAGGGTTGGGACACGTTCCAGAAATGCGGGATAAGATAACAGTGTTTCAGCGGACTCGCACACACCCAATGGTACCGCTGACTACACACTTCGGCTGTGGTGCAGAGAGAGGAGTTACACAGCCCGTTGTTCCCAGGGCCGTCAGAAAATAATGAACAAAACGTTACGCACAAAAGAAAATAATGCAATGGAGAGACATAATCAAATAATATGCGCATACTGTTTTACAGTGATTTTTATAAGTAGGAGGACATCCTAAAATAATGATAGCAAGTTCAGCACAGTAAATATGTAAGTCACCTTAGCATCATTATCAAGTATTAGGTACTATGCATAATTGTTTTGCAATACCTTTGAAAGACAGACAGCACTGTAGGTGTGTTTACACCACCATCCACACAAACACATGAGTAATAGATCGTGAAGTGAGGTTTTGACACTCAGAAGGTCACTAGGCCATGGGTTTTTTTTTTTTTTTTTCAGCTACAGCATCATCTCGTGGCCCCTGTCAGACTGTTGTGATGCCTGCATGACCCTACTTGTTGTTAGAAACACAAACTGCACACTGTCTGTGTGGACCACTGAAGAACCTGGCTCTGACTGGGACATGTCACCCTGCCCCAGGTCGACAGCATCCTGTCAGTGAGCACCAGGCAGCTGTGATAAAGGGGTCAAAGGTAGTGTAGGAGCAGCAGTGGAAGCCAGAGCACATATAGGCCAGCTAAAATCCCAACTGATGCCCTTCCATGCCCCTGGGTCAGCATCGTGGAGCCCTTAAAGCTGGATACACGTGCAGAGCTGTGGCATGGCCAGGGCATGGCTGAACTGAGAACAAGGAGATGCCTCAGGGGGCAAGACAGGCCACAGCTGCGGACACCTGGCTCCAACTCCCATTAATAGGATGCAGGTGGTGGCCGCAGGCATTTCACTCCTGTGTCAGGATTCACCTGGAGACTTTTTCTAGGATAGTTCTCCTTAATTAGCATCGTCTGTTGCTTGGAGGGGTCTTTGAACCCCTGCATGTTCCTGCTCAGGTTCCCTGCGTTTTGCACTCTAACCCCTTCCTTTATTGAATACTAAATAAATGCAGGCCTCCCAGAGACATTCCCTGTCTTAGCCCTGAGAGTCTTGAACTCTGCAGAGGGTTTTGATTCTCTGGAGCCCTGAAGTCATATCACTGTCTCCTTTAGTTAAGCCTTTGCCGTACACTCATTTGGAAGATTGGGGATCTAGGCCTGGTCCCTGATATTTCTCCTTCATTTGCTCCCACTCGGTTCGCTCCTCTTCCTTTGCATTTTACCATCAGTCAAAAGGGACAGGCCTCAGTACCCAGAAAACAACTCTCAGCCTCGGCTCTTGCACTCAGAGCTAATGTGCTGATTCATAGTCCTTCTTTCTCTCCGCCCTCCCCTGTTCCTTTCTGTTACCAAAAAGAGACAGTTTACCAGGGCAGAAAGTTGAAGGGACTCGGGGTGACATTTGCCACTCCTTTGTAGCACGACTTGTCCTGCCAGCCTGTAGTCAGTGTTCTCACCACTGTGTCCCTGGCATATGGTGGAGTAATTTACTCATGGTGACTATTCCGTAATGGTGTGTTGGGATAAAGAAATGAAACAGAGGTCATGTGTGAGAGCACACACTGTAATCCCAGCAACTTGGCAGGCTGAGGCAGGAGGATGGTAAAAGTTCAGGGCCACTCTGGGCAAATTAGCGAGACTCTGTCTCAAAGTTTACAAAGCACTGACATACAGCTTGTTGGTAGAGCACTTGCCTAGTACTGTATGTGGGAAGCCCTAATTTCAGTCCCCAGTACCACAGAAAGAATGGAGGCAGGAAATTATTATCACTGTTAGATACTTTCTATGCTGGTGAAAATGCTGCAGAGAGCTTGTTTTCTTTTACAAATTCTGTAACAATGTTTATTCAACATTATCAAGCTATTCTCAGATGTACTAGAAAAAAAAAACTTCTTACTTGGCATTTGGAGGTATCAGGCTGAAAAGAATGGATCCGGGACCCAAAAAAGATGGAAATGCCAAAGACAGATTCACTTTCTCTATATTTTGGTTATTCTTCCCTTACCAGTCCCCCATGTAAAATAGAAGTTCTTGGTCAGGTCTGGTGGTATATGCCTGTGATTCCAGCACTTAGGAGGCCAAGTCTGAGGCCAACTTGGGCTACATAGTGATTTAAGGTCAACCTGGACAGCAAACACAGTGAGACCCTGTTTCAATAAATAAATAAATGAAAGAATAAATGTTCTTGTTTGGAAATTGCAATAAGTAAATAAAGTCCATTCCCTAAGAATGATTAAACCTTTGCCCTGTGAGCCTCCCCATTCTGTGTGGAGGGCCTCTGCTTGTTAACTGACCATTCCTCCAGCTTACTGTGTGATAAACTGAACATGTGATACCTGCTCCTCTCTTCCCACCCTTAACTCCACTGCCAGTAAAGTATTACCTATCAATCATAAGTTGTCTGTTCCCTGGCAATTCTACCCCAAAATCACTTCCAGATATTATGAAGTACTAAGGCTTAGGCTTTGCTGTAGGTTAAATGTCACAGTCCCCTAAAGATCCCATGAAAGTACTGCACTCTTGAATAAAATCTTTAAGGGGTGGGGCCTCCATAGAAAAATGCAAATTAAAACAATACTGAGATTTCATCTTACTCCAAAAGAATGGGTATTTTCAGGAAATCAAATAATAACAAATGCTGACAAGCTTGCAGGAGGAAACTGTCAGTAGAAACGCAAACTGGTACAACCACTATGGAAATCATTACAGATTTCTCAAGACTGAAACTAGAGATTTCTACTAACCCAAATATCCCACTTCTAGGTATCTTCGTAAATGGGTTAAAGACATCATTTTACAGTGATACATGAAAACTCTTGCTTATAGTAAGACAACTCACAATTGCTAGATCTTGGAAGTAGCCTAAATGTCCATCAACAGATGAATGAATAAAGAAAATGTGGTAAATATACACAGTGGGGTCCTATTCTTCCATGAAGGATTAATTTGAGTAATTTTGAGGAACATAGATGCACCTTGAAACCCTTATGTTAGGTGAAATACATCAGGCACACAAACTTAACTACCACACGGTTTCTTTTATATGAGAAACCCAAAATATAAGTAAAGAGCAAAATTAAAGCCAGTTAATGGCAAAGAAGGAAACAGATCTTGTACATCCTGGCAGGGTACCAAGAGATGGAGGGAAGAGAGTGGGAAAAGCATTTGAGTGTGCTACGTGTGTGTGCCAACTTCCCAGGGTGAATGCATCGTCATGCACTACAAATGTGCACTAATAGAAATAAAACCTTTCTAAAGAAGGGTGGAGCCTACAGAGAGGAAGTTAGATCATTAGGGTTGTGCTTTAAAGGGGGTTGGGGTGCATCGCTTCTTTCTTCTTCCTTTTTTTACTGCCTACTCATGAGGCAAGCACTTTGGCTTTGCAAGATGCTTCTGTCACCATGTGCAGGGGCGATCAATCGTAGACCCAGACCTCTAAATCCATGAACCAAAA